ACCCTCCCTTCCTCTCTTCTTCAGCCCTTCCTTCCTTTTTTATCCTTTTTTTAAATGTAAGAATATCTGAAACATCCATCTAGTCACACACAATGTGTAGTACTATTGTGCATGTTTAAAATTGACATAGATTATGTTATACTTTATGAATTTATCTGAAACTCTGTTTTTACTTAAAATAATAATAATAATAAAATTAATAATAATAAATTATTTTTGTCAAAGCAAAGTCTCGTTTAGCCATGGCTGACCTTCGTTATATAACCCAGGAAGATGACCCTGGACTTCATGGTCTTTTAAGCTCCACCTCCCAAGAACTGGGACTGCCGGAGTACACCACCCCACCCAGTTTTATGTGGTGCTGGGGACTGAACTCAGAACTTTGTCTATGCTAGGCAATCAGTTTTACAACTGAGCAATATCCCCAACTTAATGTTTTTATTATTATCTACCAAAAATGGTTTCTAAATAATTATTTTAAACATACAAAATTAGAGACCAGTCGATGTATCATATTCTTAGACAAGTTTTACATCTTTTCCAAACGTGTTTCATCCAGTGCTCTTTGTTTTTCTTTTCTTTGCCAAGAAATCTTTAAAAATTACTTGAAAGGAAGATTTATTACATTTTACACTCTGCGTATATCTCTTTAATTATGTACATGTGTCTGTGTAGGAATGTGCTCAGGAGTGTGGTACCTACATAGTCCAGAAGGGGGCGCTGGATCCCTGAAGCTGACATTACAGGTTACTATGAGCTGCCTGGTGTGGGTGCTAGGAGCAGGATTCCTCTCCAGGCCCTTAATTCAACTCACTGTGTAGCCCTGGCTGGCCTACAACGTACTGTGTATACTATACTGGTCTGGATCTTACAGAGAGCCTTTACCTCCCTGTCCTGGGATGAAAGGTGTGCACCACCACACCTAGCTTAAATGACTTTGAAATCCTTAAAATATAATTTTTATTTATATATTTATGCATTTACATGTGTGATGGAGTACATGTGGAAGTCAAAGGACAGCTCGTGAGAGTCTCTTCTTCCAACATGTAAGACTTGGGTATACAATCCAGGCAGTGCGGTTTGGCAGTAGACACCTCTAGCCACTGAACCATCTTGCCAACCCATCTCAAGAATATGAAGACAAACATGAAAGTCATACCACTTTACTTCCTCACCTATAAACATCTTTGAAATAGGAACAGTTTTTTATAAGGCCATAACATCATTATCAATTGTAATGCACAATAAATACTTGCTAATATAAGATAATTTATCAGAAATCAAAAACTCCTGTCCCCACATTGTGTACTATTCTTGCTTTCTTCCAGCTGGATCCGGCAGGATAAGATGTGCCTTTTGCTTACTAGTGTTTGTTTTCACTTATTGACCTACTTACTGGCAACAACGTATATATGTACAGCGTAGCCGTTTCTTTTCCTGTTTCATACATGTATACAATGTATCTTGGCTGTACTCTCACCTGTCCTTTTACTCAGTTCCATATTTTTCCAACTAGTCCTTGTGCTATGCTCATGTAATTTTTAATTTTTTTTACTTTTTTTTTTGTGACCCACTGAATCTAATGCTTGAATGAGCATGGATGGGAAGCTATTTACTGGAGAACAGAGCAACATAGCAGTGGCTACCCCACTGAGGAAAATGACCACCATACCCTGGCAACTGCCAATAGCGTCCCAGTGGAACCTCAGGTGGCCCCTCCCACCCATGACAGAATGCTATGTAGTTCTTATGTAGGCAACCACAGCTGATGTGGGGCATGATTGCCATGGCTGTGCCATACAGAATATCGTCTCTCAGCGCTCCCCCATCCTTTGGCTCTTACATTGTTTCCACTCCCTCATTCTTGAAGTTTCCTTGGCCCTGGAAGGAAGTGATAAAGATGTCCAATATAATTATTTTTTAATTTTAAAAGGCAACATTTTCATTAATTTTTTTGAGAATTTCATACAATGTATTTGATGATATTCACCCTTTGTTCCTCTTTTCAGTTACACTCCCATCTCCTTAGCCACTCAACTTTGTGTCCTTTAAAAAAAAAAAGCCCATTGAGCTGCCAGGCATGATGACACACCTTTAATCCAGCACTCAGGAGGCAGAGACAAGCGGATCTCTGAGTTTGAGGCCAGCCTGGTCTACAAAGTGAGTTCAGGACAGCCAGGGCTATAGAGATAAAGCCTGTCTCAAACAAACAAACAAACAAACAAACAAACATCCCCCAACAAAAACAAAAACCAAATCGTAGAAACCATTGAGTCTAATTTGCATTGCCCAAATGCTCTTGGGAAATGGGCCAGGTAGGTTGGTTGACCTACTAAGGGTCACACCCTCACACGAAACTGCTCTCTTTTTGTGGTCAATTGCCAGTACCTCAGCTAGGGGTGGGACTTCCTGCTCGCTGCTCCCAATTTCATGCTGCATTTTGTTGTGCCTCAGCCCGAGTAGATCTTTTTGTCATAGTCACCGTGAGTTCATTTATCAACTGCTTTATTGTAACTGAAAAAATACTCTTTTCCTGTACTCATTATGATCCTAGATTTCAAATCACACGATAGATTCATGGTAATAAAGATGGGATGGTCCTGCCATACAAACAGACACACAGTCCAAAGGACTAGAACTGAGGACATACATATAAGCCCACGTTCACACAGTCATGTGATTTTTTTTTTTTTAAACAAAGAGGCCAACAATACACATTGGAGAAAAGGTAGCATCTCCAACAATGGTACCAGTCAACCCGATTGCTCCATGTAGAAGAATGAAATAGGTCCTCACTTCTGACCTTGCCGAGAACTCAACAGCAAATGCATCAAGAACCAAAGCAAAAGGGCAGCACAGTTTATTTTTATTAATTAGCTTATGATATTAACTTTCTTTTATAGCATTTTCATACATACATACTTTTGGTTGCCTCATCTCCCTGTTTCTGATCGATCCCCACCTAACCCCTCCCAGCCCCGGGAGTTCTCTCTGCACGTCTGTATCACATAGGTCCCATTGCCCTCCGAGCTCCTGTCTCTTAATGCCTCCATTATCCTCCCATGCTCCCCTCTCTAATTTTTTTTTGTCTTCTACACACGCTTACTACCATCAGAAGTGAGATCTCATTAGGAAGCAGGAGCTAGGGTCCACGGGGGAGAGAACACTTGATGTTTATTGTTGTGCCTGCGTTAGCTTGCTTAACACAATATCCTCCTGTTCCACCCATTTTCAAACAGGTTCATTTTCAAATGAGGGAGAACTGATCCAATTGATGAAGTTAAATACGTTTTCTGCTGCCAGTGGTCTGCCTTCTTTCCTTGTCCGTGTTCTTAGAGAGTGTGCTGCTGTGGGAGACTAGCAGTGGCAGACCTAGAGAGAAACAGGAGGAGGAGAAAAGATACTTTTCTAGCTTCATTCTTACTGGTCCAGGGGTCAGAAGAGCCAGTTTGTTTTGGAGACTAGAGAACAGTAGGAAGAAGGTATCATGAAATCTACATAGAAATTCCTTTCAAGTCATTTACTCCTAAACTGCGAATGTCCAGATTAGTAGTAGCCAAACTGGCAAATGACAAAGGCAAAGGAACAAAACAAACAACAATAACAAACTTTAAAAAAAAACAAAATTAGTTTTCTAACATCTTACAGAGTAGCCACAACTTTTGGAGGACTTGCTTAGTGGATCTTCTTCTTCTTCTTCTCCTTCTCCTTTTCCTCCTCCTTCTCTTCCTCTTCCTCCTCCTCCTTCTCCTCCTCCTCCTCCACCTCCTCCTCTACCTCTTCCTCCTCCTCTTCTTCTTCCCCTTCTCCTTCCTACTTGAGATACAATTAAATTACTTATAAAGAATAATTATTCTTATTCTTATTTTGAAAGTAACGAATTAAGATGCAGAGGGATCAGATGATATGTGGATAATCCCACATCTTGAAGCAGTGTCATGGCCCCAGACCTCTGTCCACCTGGTTCCTATGCCCTCTCTTTTCAGGAGATATCCGGAGCACTGTCACTTATGACCTGGCTTTAGACCCTGGCCGCTCACTTGTCCGTGCCTTCTTTGATGAAACAAAGAACAACACACGCAGGCGCATCCAGGTCTTTGGATTGACACAGAAATGTGAAACCCTGAAGCTAATTTTACCGGTGAGATGGCAAATGGCAGCTCTCCTGGCTGAGGGTGGAGTGGTCTTAGGAAGCTGAAGAAGGCAGAGCCTTCTATTCCTACTATCTCTTAGGACTGCGTGGACGAGTCCGTGAGTCCCATCATCCTGCGCCTCAATTATACACTGGTTGGAGAGCCCTTGCGGTCCTCTAGGGATCTCCGGCCAGTTCTGGCGATGGATGCTCAGAAGCTCTTCACAGCTATGGTGAGTCTTGGAGTTGGGGCCTTGCAGGAGTAGAGAACAGAACAGAGCATGCTTGCTAGAACATTGCTATTTTATGTTATTTCATTCAGACATTTTATTTTATTGCTTTATTTCCTTTCCTTCCTTTTGATCACACTCCTTTTCTAGCTTCCCTTTGAGAAGAACTGTGGTAATGACAGCATCTGCCAAGATGACCTCAGCATCACCATGAGCTCTGTGGGGTGAGCTTCTTTCTGTTATTGCTTCCCTCAAATCTGAATCGATGTGTCCTTGGTCTCTGAGGGAGCCTAGGCTTCTTCAGAGATATTTATGGGGCACAAAGTTCCTAGTTCCTGCTCTGTTCACAGCCCTATCTCTCCAAGTGTCTGCAGCTTCTCTCTGTCAAAACAGACTAGCCTTATGGCCTGTCTTCCTCTTCTCACAGCTTGGACACTTTGGTGGTGGGAGCCCCCGGGGACTTTAACGTGAGTGTGACTCTGAGAAATGACGGTGAGGATTCCTATGGGACCAAGGTTACCTTCTACTACCCATCTGGCTTGTCTTACCGGAAGGTGTCAAGTAGCCAGGTAGCCAGATCCTCTTCAGTGTCCTCAGTGTCTTGGCTCTGCTTTCCTCACTCCACATGGCTGGCAGTGGACAGTACTACATTTGTCTGCCTTGGTTCTAGAACCCACTCTCCAAGAAGCATTGGCGTGTGACACCTGAGTCCAGCTCTTCTTCTGAAGGGCATGGGGTTCTGAAGAGTACCACCTGGAACATAAACCATCCCATCTTTCCTGCTAATTCTGAGGTCAGAGCTCCATCCCTTACTGTCTTCTGTCTGCTGTTGTCATATGGAATTCTTGTCTTCCTCTTATCATTTCTTCTCTCTGACCTATTAAACCAGCTTTATTGAAAAGTAAAAACATTCCATGGACTCAGCCATTGTGTACAATCCAGTGGCTTATAGGTATTCTCAGAGTTATGTTTCCATCAATCTGACTAATCTGCGACCTTGCTAACAGCCCCTGGGGGCTGCTAGTTGACCATCTCTGCATGGACTCACTTCTGCACATCTCCCATCCACAGACACATACAGCACGTGGTTCTCTGTGGTTGGCTTCTTTCATCAACTGCTACGTTTTTAAGGATCACTTACCTGCGAACCTTTCTTTTTTAAAAATTTCTAAACAATATTCTTTTGTGTGGGCAGATAATGTTTGATTTATCCCATTCAGGGGTTGGCGAACAGTTGTGCTGTTCATTCTGTACTATTTTTAACCACGGTCTCCATTCTCTGATGCCAGGTCACATTTAATGTCACATTTGATGTGGACTCTGATGCCTCCCTCGGGAACAAACTGCTCCTTAAGGCCATTGTGACCAGGTACCTATTCCACATATGATAGTCGCCCTCCGCCTGAGGCCCAGCCCCTCATCCAGAATGAACCTTTTTCTTCTCTCTTCTGGTTCTGTCTTGATGACTAATTTATTTCACAAGCACTGGTTGAGCACATACCTATGTGCCAGGCATTGTGTCAAGTGCTGGAGGCGATGGTAATGAAGGAGACAGCTATGGCTCCTCCCTCACAGATGCTCAGTGATACAGACAGGCACGGACACTGGTAACCATGAGGTAGTATAAAATAAATGATCAAGTACATGCTTCAGAACAGCTTAGGCAGGGCCTTTGACATGGCTCAGTGGGTGAAGACTGACGCCTTACATTCTATCCCTGGGAGCCATGTAAAGGTGGAAGGAGAGAACTGACTACAAAGTTGTCCTCTACCCTATAACATGTGCTGTGGTGTGTGTGAACCCATCCGCCACCCACAACAGCAATAAGCATACAGAGATTGCTGAGATGGCTCGTCAGGTAAGGCTGTCAAGCCTGATGGCCCAGGTTCAATCCCTGGAACCCACATGGCGAATGGAACAAACCAACTCCCAAAAGTTGTTTTCTGACCTCTGTGAGGCAGAGAGCTGTGGGGTTAAGGACAGTAGACATGGAGACAGCTGGATGCAGAGGGTGAGGAAGGGGGGAATGGGAAAACTGATTCTCAGTTCTTAGAGGCAGCTAAGAAACTGCTTTCCTTTCAGTGAGAACAACATGTCCAGGACCCACAATACGGAGTTCCAGTTGGAGCTGCCTGTGAAGTACGCCATCTCCATGGTTGTCACCAGGTGCTGCTCCACCCCACTCCTGCCCTTCAGGCTGGGCACTGCCAGCTTTGTCTTTGTGTTCATACACTGCCTTGTGTTGTGTGTATATATATACATGTGCCTGTGTGGAGGGGTGTGTGTGTGTATGTGTGTGTGTACATGTGACAAACCCACACACTCAGTGTCTGACAGACATTATCTCTTAGAACTGCCACCTTCCTAGTCTCTGTATATTCAGTTCAAACCCCCTTCTCAGGACACCTTCATGTTCTGTCACCTGTTGTCCCCTCTTTTTTCTTTTAGTGATGAGGGTTCTACCAAATATCTCAACTTCACAGCTTCAGAGATGACCAGTAAGGTCATACAGCATCAGTACCAGGTGAGGAGCAGGGCAAGCCTGGGTCCTGAGAGGATGCTGAGAAGGGAACTTGATGTAAAGGGAAGGCAGAAAGCAATCGTAGGAAGCATGAATACTGAGTTTCCTGTGTGTCAGGTGCAGTTCCAAGTTTGCTCTACACTCCCCCCCCACATGTATACACACACACACACACACACACACACACACACACCTCTATCAGTCTATCAGGCCCCTGAACACTCTTGCTGTCCCTTGTAAATAGATGTAGAAATTAATGGTCAGAGAGACTCATGAACTATCTCTAAATCCTCACACCCGGCAAGTGGCAGAGCTAGAACTTAGGACGAGCCAGTCTGGCTCAAGTGTGACGTTGGCATTTGTTTACAATCTCTCTGAAGGGCAGGATACTTAGGCCTTATTCAGTGGTCCTGGGAAGTAGGAAATAAGAAGCCAATTCCAAGAGCTAGCCAGACCACAAGGCTAGAGCCCTAACTCCCCCCTTTCTGACGTAGTTCAACAACCTGGGCCAGAGGAGCCTTCCTGTCAGTGTGGTCTTCTGGATCCCTGTCCAACTCAACAAGGTGACCGTATGGGATCATCTCCAGGTCACCTTCTCTCAGGTGAGTCCAGCTGGGTCCCCAAAGTTCAGGTCCTTGTTAAGATCTGTTTCTCGCCTCTTCCGACTCTCCCTTTGGCTCAGGCTGTTACCCTGCTGGGCAGGACTAGAGCCCAGCAATCTCCTTTCTCTTCTCTGTGCCTGTTTTTCCTCAGAATCTCTCAAGTACCTGTCACACTGAACAGAAATCCCCTTCTCACTCCAATTTCCGGGATGAGCTTGAAAGGACCCCAGTGCTGGTAAGAACATGGCGGGCTCCAGCCTCAGGGCCGCACACACGGTCGTCACGATCCTTCTCAGTCTTAGTCATCTCTTCTTTGGTCTTCCTCTTCCAGGACTGCTCTGTTGCAGTCTGTAACAGAATCCAGTGTGACCTCCCATCCTTCAACCCTCGGGAAATATTCAATGTCACCCTCAAGGGCAAACTATCATTTGACTGGTACATCAAGGTATGTTGTGTTTGGAGACTCTCTGGGTAGAGCTATAATAGTCCAGCACCCAGGCCTGGTTCCCACTCTGCTTCCCCCCACAGACTTCTCATGACCACCTCCTGCTTGTGAGCACTGCCGAGGTCCTGTTTAATGATTCTGCGTTTGCCCTACTTCCAGGGCAGGAGACGTTTGTGAAGTCTAAGGTACTCGTCTCGGGCATGGGTGGAGTGGGGTGGGGTGACGCTGTTTGGAGGGAGGAGGAAGCTGGGGTGGTGGGTCCCATCTTTGGGCTGGCAAGAGAAGCAGGTGGGAAGAGAAGTGAGGCCTGTGGCTGGTGGTGCGGGTTGTTGGGAGTGGTTAACCCTTGATCTCAGGGAGCTCTCCAGAAATTTGAGGTGTTTCTCTTCTGCTGTACCCAGTTTCTCTTTCTTCCGTAGACGGAGACCAAAGTGGAACCATATGAAGTTCACAACCCTGTGCCACTCATTGTGGGCAGCTCCGTCGGGGGCCTGGTGCTCTTGGCTCTCATCACTGCTGGCCTGTACAAGGTGCCTCTTGGTTCTTTCTGTCCCATCTCCCCACCCTCCAGTAGCTCCGTTACTGAGTTTGACTCAGTATTGCTGCTAACTATTTGACCTTGGGTCATGGCTCACTCAGTGCCTGGATTTCTTCAGTTGTAAAACAATACTATGAACACCCATTTTACAAAGAAAATTAGCTTAATGCGTGTAGAGCAACTACGATGGCCCCTGGTCTACAATGACCACCGTATAAAGATGAGTTTTCTTCTATTTTATCTTGTTTTCCTAGTCCCGGCATTGATGGTGTTTCTCTCCCTGCCTGACTTCCCTAGGTCCTTTTTATTTTCTGCCCCTGTTAATCTTTGTCCTGCTTGGTTATCTTGTCTGTCTCTGTCTCTCTCTGTGTCTGTCTGTCTCTCTTTCACTCTCTCCCTCTCTTTCTCCCTCCCTCTCTCTTTCTCCCTCCCTCCATCCCTCTCCCTCTCCCTTCCCCTCCCCCCCCCCCGCGTGTGTGTATGTCTGTCTGTCTGTCTCTCTGTGTGTGTCTGTCCATCTGTCTCTGTCTCTGTCTCCATCCCTGTCTCCGTCTCTGTCTCCCTCTCCCCCTCCATCCCTTCCTCCCTTCCTCTTCCCCTCCCTCCCTCCCCCCTCTCTCTGTGCCTGTGTGTGTATCTGTCTGTCTGTCTGTCTCTCTCTGTCTATCCCATTCCCTCTCTTTTTTGTCTTGTCTGATCTTGACCTACTACCATGGATTCTGTGGCCTTATCCTATGCCTTTACCCTGACAGCTTGGCTTTTTCAAGCGGCAGTACAAGGACATGATGAGTGAAGCTGCTCCCCAAGACGCCCCACCACAGTAACGGCCTTTTCTCCATCGAGTGACCCCTCCAACAACAAGCAGGTCTAGACGGTCAGACCAACATGGAAGCTGATGGACAGACATGTCCTTTAGGAGACTGATGCTGTGATGTCTTATACAAAAATGGAGTTTCTGTGTGTGTGTGTGTGTGTGTGTGTGTGTGAGAGAGAGAGAGAGAGAGAGAGAGAGAGAGAGAGAGAGAGAGAGAGAACTGTGCATGGCTCACACATTTCTTGCCTGTGAGCAATGCCTTAAATGCATCCTCTTGGAAGGAAAGGCATCTCTTGGGTTTCCTAGTGTGTTAGAGAAGATGCTAATGAGTCCTTCTCTGGGCAAGGCTATGGGACTCTTATAGGTAAGCATAGCTAGTGCTGTGTTGTCCTCTCTGAAGGAAGTAATATTTCCTTGCTGCGTGAGCCTGCAGACTTGCAAGGGCTCAGACACTGAGTCTGCAAGAGACGTTGGGCATGGACTAGAGAACTGGAAAGTCAACAGAGATGTTCAGCGAGGAGGGAGACGCCCCCCACCACCTAGTCATTTATAATTTAACTTTAATTTAAATATTTGAACCAATTAACCTATCAAAGTACAAAAACCAAAAGATACTCGAGAGGTGAAAGGCAGGGGAGGGAGGATGCAGCTCCCAGCAGAGTGTGCGTCTGGTATATGCGAGGCCTTGGGCTTGGCATGCAACAATGAAGCCCAGGCAGAGAAAAACCAAACCAAATCAAAGTGTACAGTGGAAAGACTTCCTTCCAGAAAGACTGCAGGTGTGTCACACACACACACACACACACACTGTTTTAAGCAAGTGGTAACACACTTTTTTACTATTATGTATATTGTCTTTTTATGCATAATATGCTCAAATAATTTTATGTAAGTTAAAAAGTTATAGAAGTTAAGTTATAAAGTAGCTCAGAGTATTCCCATGTGATTGTAATATATTTAACATTTAATGTAATCTCCTTTGGATATATTATTTCCAGCCATTTGCTATTTTATGAACAATGCTGAATTAATAAATTGGATATATCTAAGTTTTACATATGTATAAGAGTAATTTATTAGATATATTTCTAGAAGTTTGCCTTCTACTTGAAGTGAGTCCCAAATAAAAATTTGATAGGAAGATGAGCTTGGTGGTACACACTTTTAACCCTTTCTAGTCAGGGGGAAGAGGCTGCAAGATTGTGAATTCAAGACCAGCTTGGGCTAAGAGTGACTTCAAGGCCAGCCCAAGTAGTTTATGAAGACTTTACTCAATAGAATAAATGAATAAACAAGGACTGAGGATGTAGCCTAGTGGTCGAGCACTTGCTTAGCATGTATGAGGCCCTAGACTTTATCTTCAGCCACCCTCCCTCTGGCTTCCCCATTGTTGAGGGCCATCGGCCACAGTCGACCAGGTTCACCTGAAAGAGAGGCTGGGAAGGGACAGGAGGGCGAGAAGAGATGAAGCCAGGACAAAGGTTTCTGATCGAGGCTCAATGCTTTAATGTTCAGCTTCTAATTTAAAGGGGATAGCCCACCCCCACCCACAGAGTTCCTTCTTGCTTCAGCCGGCTGGGGGTGAGCAGAAACCATCCTGCTTGGAGGTGAGAGGAATCCATAGGTAATTTCGAGATGTCTCAAGCAAGCTCAGCAGGCAGTCTATTCTTCTCAGCTCATGTACCAGGCTACAGGCAGCCAGAAAGGCGCCAAGGCCAAAGCAAGCACTGCCTCCACCAAGGGCAGGAAATGCCCAGGCCATACCTCCGGAGTCCTATTGTTTGGTCTATTGTGGTAAACAAGGTCTCATCTCTTAGGCCTACTCAAGGCTGGGGGAAGGGCACACCCCACCCACCAAACAATTCAAGTTCGAGAAGGATCCACAACATACCTACAGGTAGAAGGAGTTATCTGGGCAATGGAAGGCAGCTGTCAACCGATGGGATGTCCCATGTCTCTGGAACTGCTAGTGTAGAGTGAAAAATTATAGATGCTGGGTATATAGAATTCTTTTTAGACATATAAAATATTCTTTAGGCTTTCTTTATAAAGACATGGAGAAACTGAGCCATGAATCAAGTTAGGAATGTGGAAAGACCAGTCACCATTACTGGAACTGGCCTATCTGCAAAGAGAAAGGAAAAAATGCAAGTGAACTAGGTGGAACCAAGCTGGGAACCAAGCTCAGAATCATAGTGACAGGGCAAGGCCGAAGTAACAGGGCAGGACCACATTCTTGAGAAAGATAAGCATACAGAGAGTTTTCACCTGATCCTGACTCAGTAGGTTGGGTTCCTTTAGAATGTTCCACTATTTTTATGTTATGCCACCTCAACAACCCCTCATTCCCCTCCCCATTCCTTGGTTTGTGGTTTTTCCCCTTAAAAACCCTTCTCAAACTGGCTGTCGGGGTCAATTCCGCTCCTGCGTGGGCATACGAATTGACCGGCAGCTAGCTGTCACGCCCTAATAAACCTCGCAATTGCTCTGGTACACGGTGTCTCAAGCAGATTACTGGGTGGCCGAGACTTTCTGAGACTTGGGTGAGGGTCTCCCCTTTGCGGAGGTCTTCATTGGGGGCTCGTCCCGGGATTTGCAACCACCCTGATCTCTGAGACCCCCACTGGGAGGTAAGGGCACCGCGGTTTTGTTTGTGCGTTTTGTGTGTCTATCTGTCTCGTTTGGAATTCTGGAAAGTGCACTTCTGTGGTTTGGCTTGGCAGCTGTTTCTGTCTCGTAAGAGACAGCAAACCTTTTGTCTCGGCAGGAGGCGAACGGGTGACCAGCAGACATGCTAGGAGGGTTACCACTGCCACAACCTGGGAGACATCCCGGGCGAGGAAGGGACCCCAGGGACGCCTGGTGGGTGCCCGTCTGGAGGCCGGGGAGGACATGGTGGTCCTCTTGCTGGAGGAGGTGTGAGAGACCTCCTGGGCATCTGTTTTTCTGTATTGGTGTTGACTTTCTCGGTTGAGACGGTTAGTCTCTTTGTGTAGTTGTTTTGTCTGTGTTTTGTGTTACTCGTGATGTGATAGGGACAATGGACTGTGTGCTTGTGCTTATGAGGTGTCTGTGCCCATGGCGTGGGGCAACTGTCTGTGTACTGTGTTTGTGAAGTTTCTGTGCGCCCATGACAGGGGTGACTGTCTGTGTAGTCTGGTTTCTGTGCTCGTGGCAGGAGCGGGAACCAGGCAAGCCACGCAGGGCAGTCTGAGACCCTGGGAGAGGGTCAGGTTACGAATTCCGGGAGAGAATTCATGGGAAGTGGAAGCAGTGGGACAGATGTGTTGGCACACTGCAGGCCACAGTTCTCTAGAGGATTCTCTGGAGTTCATTTGTATGGGAGATAGGGTCAGAAATGACCCCTTCTCTGTCTGAAGGTGGTCATTGGCCACCGCTGCCTGGGACGGCGTCTGTTGAAGCTCTCGTGGCTGTGTGTCTGGGTCTAATTCTGTGTTGTTCATTGCTGATGATATAAGAAATCTGTTAAATTAGGTCCAACATGGACTGGCCATGTCATCTGGTTATTAGGTTCTCTCACCGGCAGTCTTTCATGTCTTGATTGTGTAACCCGACTCTGCACCTGTGACAGGTGTGAGACTTGTCTGTATCTGGTATATAGACCGCCCGTGATGGGGGTGAACTGACTGCTTTTTTCTGTTTTCTTGATGAACTGTTTGTGTGTTTTTGGACTGTGGCTGACGTTATTTTGGACTGAATCTACTGTGTTAAATATCCTGAGTTAACAAGAGGTAACATGGCCATTGGCAGAGAAATAGCTAAAACAATTGTCTGATCTCCGCGGTGTGTTAGCAAAAGAAAAGGAACTCTCCGGCCCCTACAAGAGAGATTCTAGGTTATGCTTTCTATGTCTATTGTGAGTCCCTGGTGCGCCAAATTTGTCCATGTGTGTCGTTGTCTGTCTTTGTTTCATTAGAATAAATGTTCTATGTTTCATGTTCAGAAAGATAGGAAGATAAAAAGGGTTAAAACTTATAGGCAAGTCCCCCTGCTCTGTGGATGAAAGTGAGGCACAGCAGGAGGAGCCCTGGCAAAAATGATTCTTTGCACAAGCTGCTCTTGGGGACAGTGAATAATGCATACTTGAGAGACAGTGAATACTGCACACCTGGGAGACAGTGAATGCTGCACAACTGGGAGACAGTGATAATACACACCTGGGAGACAGTGAATGCTGCACAACTGGGGGACAGTGAACACTGCACACCTGGGAGACAGTGAATACTGCACAACTGGGAGGCAGTGATAATACACACCTGGGAGACAGTGAATACTGCACCCCTGGGAGACAGTGAATACTGCACCCCTGGGAGACAGTGAACACTGCACCCCTGGGAGACAGTG